TATTTTTCTCCAACCAGTAAATTATTCATAGAAACCAGAAACAGACGCTCAAATTTTTATAAAATTCGAAACAAATTTCAAAATCGATTTTGTGGATTTTTTCGTTGGAGGAGAGAATAACACACACACACACAACGAAGAATCGGCGATGTCGTGGTTAAGATCGGCTGTGCACAAAGCAGTCGAAGTCGGCGGGAAGAATAACATCACCCGCACCGTTCGCAATTACGCCGATTCCGTCGTCCTTACCGCCGGAAATGCCGTTTCGGAAGGTGCCAAACTGATCCAGGATCGCATCGTACGTAAATTCCCAAAATCCCCTTCCCGAAATTTCGCATCGTTGTGATTCCTTTCAATTTCGTCGATTATTCAAAATCGCCGATGTGTGTTTAATTTGTTGATGTAGGGATCGAGGAATGTGAAGAGCTTTAGCCTCGCGGTGAAGAGATTAGAAGAGGTTTCGGTTTCTTCTAGAGGCGGCGAGAGAGTGCAGTTGTTGAGAAGATGGCTTGTTGCTTTGAGAGAGATTGAGAGAATGTCTGATTCCGAGAATATCGAACGCAACAATCACAAAACGGATGATCAGAATCAACATAATTCCGAAGAACCTAAGGATTCTCCTAAAACATTCAGCACCGTGAGTAATTCAATCTACCTTGTGTTTGGTTATGTCTTTAATGTTGCGTGTTAATTCGTTTTGTGAAACTTGATAGGTTTATTACGTTGATCCTGGTCTTCCTGGTGAGCCAATGACTTTCCGCGATGTTTTTCTTCATAGTGAGGCGCTTGAAGGGATGGTATTATCAATGGTAAGCCAGATTCATTGTTGTGGTATTAGCATTTGACTGTTTGATTCTGGAGCATTGTAAGAGCGATTCAGGGCTGACATTTTATTGCTGATACACTGAGTTTAACCGCAGGTTAACTCTTTTCTGTGATTCAGATTCTGGAAGCACCTAATGAGGAAGAAGTCCAGCTGCTTATGGAACTGTTTGGGTGATGCTGATTTCCATTTCGTTGAAAAATTGTGTTTCAGTTGTGTTTACGAGAATGTGAAACAACTCAAATGGTCATGGTTGGTACATACAGGCTCTGTTTGGCAGGAGAGAAGGAAGTTCATGAAGCAGTGATTCAAAATGTGCAGGACTTAGCGATGGTGTTTTCGAAATACAAGGATGAAGTTCTGGTAAGGATGTGCTGAATTATGTAAACAGAGAGTGTTCTTTCACCTAGACTCTGTTCCTTTATAGTACTACAGATTGCTTGACCATATAATCTCTTTCTGTTGTTGTTGTTGTTAGGCAAAGCGCGAGGAACTTCTTCAATATGTCCAAGGTGCAATTGCAGGGCTAAAAATCAGTGCTGATCTTGCAAGGTATTCTTGGATCAGAATTCTTTAATACACTCTCTAACTTTTTCTGTGTTGAAGCTTTGTGTCGCATCTTAAGAATGTCCAAGTCTAAAAAATTTACTTCTCTTGTATCGATTCTCATTTGTGACTGGCTCAGAATAGATACTGAATCCCATACTCTGATGGAAAAACTCGATAAGACGAAGGTCAAGGTTCTCGAGCAAGCTTCAAATGAAGATGGCTCAAAAATGTCTGGAACCACTGCTGCATCAACAGAGGTGAGATTGTCTCTTCTAAATTCCACTGCCACATTGTTCATTCTTAAGCCTTGGTCACATTAGACTTGGTCTCAGATTTCAACTATTGTTTCTTTAGTTATCATGTATAGAAACAATTGTTGGAGATCTTAATATGTAAATAATATATTCATATATAAGCCAAGTGAAAGGAAGTACCATAAGGCTTCTAGGAGAATTTTTATTGGATTGTTTTATTCCCCCAAGTATTTTTTTTGATCTGTCGATACATCCCTGGATTAATTTCTGTGAGATGTACTGAAAGGCTTGGGTCACTGCAGGCTCTCCGGGAAATTCTTGAGCAAGTTCGAACATTTTCAAAGCTAGAAGCGCTCTTGATCAGGAAAAAATCATTACGTAATGGTGATTCCCTTCAACTCCATAGTGCGAAGGTGAGGAACTGCAGACAACTCAAAACATTCACTGCTTTTATTGGATTGTCCTTAGTTGTCTCAGATTTAACTAGATTCACTGTGTATCTTGTAGGTCGATAAACTCAAAGTTTTGTCGGAATCTTTACTCAATTCTACCTCTAAAGCCGAAAAGCGAATTGTGGATCATAGGTGAGCAAATGAAACATAGTAATTTCAAATTTTATCTACTTTCTTTAATACCGTAGTGCACCCTTATCTTTTTACCATATGAAAAAGCAGAAGCCAAAAAGAAGAAGCTCTTAGCTACCGAGTTTCTAAAACAAATGAAGTTGGCCAGCTGGAGAAGGTTTGCAGCCCCTACTCTCTTGTACCTTGTTTATAAGATATTGACTCAGTGTTCTTGGTGCATTTTATTATGGGCTGAGTACAAATGTAATATCCAGGATGTAGAGGCAGAATTAAAAAAACTTGAGGATTCGAAGGATGATCTTGAAGCTGAGCTGAAAAGGGTAACTTTCACAAGAATTTATCTCAAATCAGTTTATTGAACTGGAAGATTTTTAGATGTGTAGGCATGTTACTGAGTTCGCATGTTTTTTGAAGGTAAACACCTCAATAACATCTGCACGGGCTCGCCTGCGCAATGCCAGAGAAGAAAGAGAGCAGTTTGATAATGCAAGTAATGAAATTCTTATGCACCTGAAGTCAAAGGTACCAAACTACTTGTTCTTTCTCCCCCTGGTATTAGCTAAATGGAATTCATAAGAATAGTTTTTGATGTTTGGCTGGCTTACATTGTAGGAAGAAGAGCTTACGCGTTCAATATGTTCATGCCGAGTAGAGGCAGATGTTGTAAATAAGTGGATCAAATTCTTGGAAGATACTTGGACTCTCCAGTCTAAATTTTCTCAACAAAAGGAAAGACAAGTGAGGTATGTCTTATCCTCACTTTGCAAAGAAATCAGAAATTGTTCTGCTTACCTAAGTATTTTCCATTTGATCCGTCTTTTGCCGTTTATTTCACCATGGATCGAAACTCAAGTGGTGAGATGGAGAGATATAGTGACCATTTCATCGACTTGATTGTTCAACTCCTCTCTTCCTACAAGGTAATTCAAAATGTTAATCCCAAAATTAGTGCCAATTTTACCATGATAAAGTAGATAATTGTATACATTATTGCTGAGAAAATAAACTTCAATTCCACTTGGTTATAAACTGTACACCAAAGATGAAAAATATCTCACATTCATATTTTAAATATCAACTCAGGAACAGTTGGATCCTTTTATACCCAAGATCCGAAGAGTCGTGGAAATTTTGGAACCAAGCAAAAGGTAATACATATATGCTGACTTCTCTGTTCTTGTAAATTTCATTTGACCAAAGTTAGGCTGATAGCTCTAGTTGATCTGTTTTACGAGGAAATATCAGGTTAGATGCAGAAAAAATCACAGATGATAAGGATACAAAGCCAATCGACTCTAGAAAACAGCTTGAGAAGGAGTATCTTGACCTCGAAGCTAAGGTAATGTCTTTATGAAATAAACATATAGACCACTTTTCTTAGTGTGCATAATAAAACAGAACATCCGCTTAGCTTGCTTCCAACTACAAAGACCAGAAACTGCGGTTCTTCTGATTCTTCTTTGTTAAATTTTTCCAGTTTGTAACAACATTAAGTGTGGTGGATGCTATGAAAAAGCCATTCTATTCACAGACTGAAGGTATCACCAGGTAAAAGTTACAAAAACATGCCCCTTCTTTAGAGATTATTCAGCCTATGGACCGAGATCCGACTGCGACTTTGATTCAGAAAAACATTACTCTCGCCTGGTTTGGTGTTCTTTGATTCAGGAAAGACGATAAAAGAGTGAAAGAACTATTTGAGGCATTGGACAAAACAAGAGCAGAGTTTGAATCTATCGAACGCCCGGTCCTAGATATCGAGTCTCCTTCAAGAACCTCTTCTTCTTCACGCTCACCGTCCCTGAAAATGACTCACGAGACTCCACTTTCTGATACAGTACTACTGAAACCATCTGGTGCTGATGATGGTTCCTCAGAGAGTAAAAAAGCGTCTTCAGGGAAGGAAGACCCGGCGAAGAAACATCTCGAGTTGGAACTAGACGACGGAGACGATTTCCTGGCAGATGAAATCAGTGACTGGGAATTCGACGCTCTTGATGACACACTTACCTCAAAAACCCAATAGCTGACCCCAAATTTTGCAAAGGTAAAAGCCACTTGAGCTCATAGTCACACAACAGTAGTTGAACTATCTACTCTTTGCAAATTCACATGATTTTTGGCAATAGAACACTACCAAAAACAATCAAAGAGTAGGCATTGTAGATTAAGAGTTGCTCTCAGGTCAAATAGTTTGGGACACAAGTCTAAATCTTTGAAG